TTTTGCAAATAGATTAAATAATTGAAAATATGTTGTCTTTTACAAGAGAACTACGCTAGTAGTTATCGGAAAGATTCCTTCGTATCTCATTTTAAATATGATTTAATATAGTTGATGACATATTTTCTTTTTTCCCTTAATTTTAATCTTTCTTACTTACTTTAAAACTTACTTTAAGAAAAAAATATGAAACGACTTTTATGTATTTTATTAAGTTTCGTTCATTTCCTTTAAAAAGTTTTGGTATATTTTTTAATATATTTTCAGGTTTATTGCGAAAACGTTTGCTACAAATACGGGCTTCATTAGATACTGATAATCAAATAGCACTTTTCACAGATGTCAAAATTAAAACCTCCTGGTCTTGTTATTTGTGGCTACAGTATCTCTGAAGATTAATCATTATTTTATTATTACTAATCCTGTAAATTATAACTCTCTCAAATGGTATCCGCACGAAGAGCACTACAAATTCCTTCATTTATTATTGCATTAATCGGGACAATCATCAATTTTGTAGCTTTGGCAACACCAGCATGGCAGGTGAATTTTTTTTTTTTGTAACATTTAAGAAAAATTGAAAGATTATTCAAAAATATTTCATCTTTGAAATTTCACCTTCGCAAAATAATAATTGAAGTGTAAAATTTTTTGAAAAAAAAACTAAAATTTATACTGTATAGTCATCAAAGGTTATTTGTTATTGCATACTTATATAGTATACCTCTATCACTGTATACTTATTGATGCTTGTATCACCGTATACTTATTGCAGTACGGTAAACATGATATGAAGTGAGATGCTAAGCTAATGTCGCTGAATTTTGAATAATTTCTTCTCTTGTCCCTAAATGAATGGATTAGTATGAATGATAAAGCATCGAAGTCATTTTCAAAAGATCTCTTATTTAGGTAGTTTATGTTCGGGAATTGCAACAATGGATACAGAGCGGGTTATGGATGAATTGTCAAACAAGGTATGTTATTGATTTCAATTTCAATTTTTTCGAAATTGATTTGAAAATATGAATTTGAAATATTAATAAATTATCACTCTAATGAAAAAAAAAAGCTCATGAAACTCATTAAAATTTTAGTGACGCTATATAATAATATAACTTCAAGTCCTCGGGAATCCTTAGGTCACTTTCAATGTACCTTTCTGTTAAATTATTTAATTTCTCCATTTCATAGGCCATCTGGAATGATCTCCTGTACTTATACATTCACTAAAACTGATATTGATTTTTATACAAATCCACAAGTGATCAGTATCCGGACACCCGCATTCTATGGTTAGTTTATAATTTATTCGAACTCACTTAACTTTGTTTTTTTTTTTTTATTTTCTGAATGCATTCATATACCATTCTATCTTCATATTCATCATTCTGTTCTGTTACCTTTTCAACCAATTTTAATTATTTATTGTAATTTATTTATATCACTAAATTGCTATTTTGGTGATACAAAATTTTTTAGATTGGCAACATACCATACTGTACATACTATTGTTTGGCCAATTTTTAGCGCTTTTTGCAATGATTTGCTTTTGTTATTCACAATCGACAGATGTTAGCAGAAGTGTTCAATTTTTGTTTACCATTTCAATTGGTCTTTCTGGTTTGTAAATTTGCCATTTCCGTTATTCATTTGTATATTTTTGTTTTTTATTTATTTACTATTTTATTTCAGCATTAATCAATATTGGTTGTAATATAGCATTTCAAATATTTGCTCATATGCTCGAGTATAGGTTCTATCATGTTAGCGTTAGTGGCATTTATGAGGTAAGTATTTAATTTTTGGTAGATTTTTTATTTTTGTTAGATATTAAAGTTAAAATTCATTGATGATATTGAAATAATTTGGAAACAAAGTGTAATTTCAGAAGCACGTTGGTTATTCGTATTTTTTGCATCTCATAGATTCAATCTTACTGATACTGTCTTTCCTATTTTCATTGGCCTATACGATAATGCTTTATCGATCCCCTCAAAGTAGCAATTCAATACGGACAGATCAAAATGCTTTTTCAATACATCAGGTCAATAATAAATCATTTTGTATTTGTTTGTTTATTTATCTAATATTTCTCATCGCTTACTCTTAACATTCCATTTGTCAGAAAGTTGTTACTTTTTTCACGACAAGCTTTTGATATTTTGTTAATTTTATTTTTTATTTATATATTTGGTGAAATATTGGCGATAATTGTAAAAGTTTTAGGCATATCAATATCGTCATCCTCAAGAAGATTTTTTCGCAATGCGTGCCTTACCTGAACTGCCTCAAAAATATCGGAAATGATATCGGAATTGATAATATAAACATTTTATATGTGCTAACTCTGGTGATTTATCTTGATAAAATGTGTTTTATCCCGGTAATTTCGGAAACAGTTGTTGCTGTTGACTTTAATATATGAATTGATCTGTAATTCAATACTTAATACTTAATAAATCATCGAACTCGTTCAGATTTAATGCGACAACTATCAAAAATTATAGGACAAATTGAAACAGTGCTTTACTATCTGTCCTAGTCAAAATGCATTTAGAACACGGTCGTTTTAAAATCATCATAAAAGTGTTTGTCAAATTTGTACGAATGAAATAAATTTAAATTTCAAAAAAGAAAAGATGGAAATCCTAATTTAATATAAGTCAAAATTTTAGAAATTTTAATGGTAATATTTATGAACAATAAATGACTAGGACAGAGAATCGCTCAGTCGATGTATAAAGCAAAATTTTATGAATGAAATTTTGTTCCTCAATTAATGATACGATATGTTGTCATCTCTTTTCAATAGCCTTTTAGGATGAAATCTTCTCTCCTCTGTTCGTCTATTTCCATATATTTTTAGATTGTCTAATGCAACACTGTCACAGTAAAAGTGTCGCCATTTCGACACTCACTGGTCATTCCCAATTGATTGCTATCATAGCTTTCCATTTTCATGAATTGCAAATTATTTTTCTAAAATTGAATATTAAAGTATTGAACGTTCCATTTTTCAAATTTTTGTTTCAGAATTTTTGAACTAGAAGTTTTTTTTGGGGAAACTTTTTTCTTGACGCTATTTATCCAAGCACCTGTAAGTCTCTTTCATTAATTCTTTCACTCAGTTCGATTGACTTTTACAATTTAATATATTTCAAAAACTGCCCTTGCTCCTCCCATTCTTTTTTTTACATTCGCTAAGTTGACGATAAGTGAATTTTAGGAAGTCGTAGATAAGTTATTAAACAATCTAAAGATTGAGTAATTCTGGACGTGAAATGAATTTTTAATAATTTTTGAACAAATATTTGTGTATGAATGGATAGTTCAAAAAAAAACTATATTTAAATATCTTTTTTAAAGCTAATTTTTAATTTAGCACAGAATTCTCATTATTCATTCTGACAACCATAGAAATTGTATTATATACATGCACTGAAATGCGTAATAAAATTTATCGTAGCTATAAATTAATGTGTTATAAATTATGCAATTTTTTTTTTTTGGGAATATATTGAAAAGTTATCATCATTTCTTTTCTCATTTTATCTTTTTTTTGATGTTTACATCAATTGGAGAAGTAAATTTTGAATTAAATTTGTAAATAACTAATCTACACTGCATATTATTGATATTTGCTGCACTGCTGTTATCATTGCTCATCATCAAATAGCTGTAATCTTTGTTTCCTTCAATAATTTCGAAATTCTGATAGGTGAGAGGAAAAACTCGAATATTAAATTGTCATTGTCAATACTTTCAGAATTCATAACATTGTTTATGTCACACACACATATATATATATACATATATATATGTGAGGAAATTCCATTTTTCTATTGATTTTAAAGGCATATCATACGCTTCTTGCATTTTTTATATCTTTTGCTAGGCCAGTAGCCAAGTTGGAATTGCTTCTTTTTTGTCTGAAAGTGTTACCAAGGAGACATATTTTATCATTTAATTACAGCTTTCATAATTCCCTTTATTCTATCTGTTTCTTTTTCATTTTTGAAAAAATCCATCTTTTTTTTTGTTTATTTACAACTTCGAGTTATGTAATTTTTCTTATTTTTCTGACATTGTATCTGAATTGAAATTATCATAAATTTTAATACTCACTTGTTGTTCCATAGAATTTAATTAGCTCTTTTCCATTCTTGTAAAAATTGTGTTAAATATTTTGATCATTAGCAAATGTTACAAATTTTTAGAAATTTATCTTATCTATTCGTTTAAAATATCCATCGACAACAATCGTTCGTTCGGCCATTAATGTTACCTGTTAAGGTAAAAAAAATCAATAGAATATTTGAAATTTTGATTTTTTGTTTCTGTGATTACTGTAATAAATTTTGCTAACAATGAGGCAAAAACTGTGAAAAATTGATTTTGCAAAAATAATTTTTACTTATATTTAATTTTCATTTCAAAATTTGTGCAAATTTAGCAACATATTTTGAGAGTTTGATTTTTTGGAACTTTCTTTGATATTAGCAAGTATTTTAAGGGACATGAAAAGGCTTTTTAATTTTAAATTCAGATATTGAAATTTTTGTTTCTTAATATATTGCAACCGTTTCTCCGTTATTAAAGTAGCCTATTTTACATGTAAAAAATTTACCTTACTGAACTTTCGCATCGCATGTTCTCATTCATACAACCATTATGACAATCATCAATTACTTTAACCATCAAACGGCATTCGGAAGGAAGTGTCATTTGATGAAATATCTGTTGCAGATTTTTTTTTTGAAATGGGATCGGAAACCATAGTGAAGTTGGTTGCTAATTTAATATTTAAAATGTATAATAAATATTGCTTCAAATTTGTTGATGTTTTCATTGTTTGTAGGATTTTTGCATCAATCATCAAATGATCACACAGCACAGCAGTCAACAAAACCTGAAAAATAATTTAAAAAAGAAAGGAAAAATCTGAAAATATTCTACAAAAATGAAATTGGATTGGTCGAATCCATTATTGAAAATTCAGGCTATGGCCTTTATCCCTCTATGTATTGGAAATTTTTTCCTGTTTATCGCTTTATTAACTCCTGCATGGCAGGTAATTTTAAGTTTTCTTTTTCATTATTTTTATCACTAGCACTTTAAACGTTCAATTCTCTTGACTGATTTTTTTTTAATTTTTTAAAATATAAAATTCAAGGTAGCAGAGGATACAGATGCTCATCGATACATGCAAAGTGGGTTATGGATGTACTGTCCCGGTGGTGTGCCTTGTTGGTATATTTTTAGTGATAATCTCATTAATTACTACGAAAAAGTAGATGTTTGCCGATTTTTATTAATTGGTGATTGCCGTAAAAAACTCATCAAAACTCCATATTTTTTTGGTATGTTTGAACTGTACAATATTTTCAGCGAAAAATTAGATGTTTATGATATTTTAGTGATTTAAAAATTTTCTCTTATTCATTCTCATACATAAATTAATTTCTATATTTTAATTTAATAGTAAAAATTTGTTCTTTTATTTTCAGGATGGCATTATGCTGTTCTCATTCTACTTCTGTTTTCGTTTGCATTTGGCCTGATTGCCGCAGGAATTCTGGCGTTTAGTGTATTTCGAGTGAGCAGAGTTCGATTACTCACAATTATCTATATGCTATTTAACTTTTTATCCTGTAAGCTAATAAATTATTTCATTTCCTTTTTATTTCTTCAACTTAAAATTGATGGATGCATTATGCTGAAAATTTTCTAATTGTACTCATTTGTGATTGGGATTGAAATAGTGAATTTTGAAATATTGAGATATCAGGATATTTTTTATTGGTACTGACTTACTACACAAAATCACATCGATAATACATGTATTATCATATAGTTGAATTTCATGATTATTTCCAGTCCTATTCATATCAGTGGGATTGGCTGTTTTTGTGATTAATGCCGAAATGCTAGAATCGCGTTTTCTGATTGGTATTAAAAATACCTTTAAGGTATGTTTTGATGTATTTTAAATCATCTCATATTTCAAATGAGAATGATACTTTTATAATTTGGAAAAGTTATGGAAAATTTTATTGGTTTGAAAATCTTGGACCATGAAATTACGTTTTACATATTTCCTTCTTTTGAAAATATCCAAATGTTGAAATTGATTGATGATGAAAACATCTTAATAAGTGAATGAAAAAAAATTGATAAAAATTCAACCAAATCTTCATTTCAGAAGGAATACGGTTATTCATTTTATCTTGCTGGATTAGCATGCATGTTTCTCATGTTTAGCTTATTGGCTGCCGTAATGATAAAAACTTATATATTTTTCACGAAACGCGGGCGCAATTATGTAGAAGAAGCAAAACTTAGAAATCCTAGTCCATCATCATGGCGATCCTTTATGGGCATGAAGAAACTGAAGGTGACTTTGATTACTTTGCTAGAAATTTCTACAATCAAAACTTCCCAAAAATTTTAAGATGTGAAGAAAAAGCAACTCGTGGACACCACTCATGACTTGATTAGCTAATACTATTTGTTTAGTTGCTTTTTTTATCGAATCAGTCGCAAAAAAAGTTGCTAAACGCTCTTTTAGCTCTTCAACAAATATTTTCATTCCAGGGCATAGTAAAACATCCTAGCAGTCAGACAAGTTCATACCCGACGATTCCGGTTTTCCAAAATGTCTTCGAACAACCACCGCGACCAGGTAGCAATACAGCATCGCAGACGGTAACACCGCTGCCACCAGAATATATGTCAACAACCAGAACATTCCTCAGCTATTAATAATGCATAATGATCAAATGTAATTTTCCATCATATCTCGTAAATAAATTACAAAGAATCTTCTTACATTTTATAGTTGCAGTCAAAAAAGTTCACTCGAGAAATCTGTTTATATTAGACCAGCAAAGCTTTTGTATTATAGCGTAGAGAGTCATAATTTGAAATGCAAATCAAAGTTTATAAAGCATGAAATGCCAGTTAGCAAATAAAACGAAAATTTCACATAACAATAATCAGTTCTTGAAATACTTTTATTTTTAATAACATGCTCAAAAATTCGAAAAACTCATCAGATTAAAGAAATGAAATATGAAATGCTAGATGTAAGAAATAAAAGAATGCCCTTTGCCTTTTAACGGTTCCTGGAAGCTTCAGAAACTAAACAAATTTTTAAACGAATATATAACCTAAAAACATGGAAAGTTTGTTCAAGACATATTAGAGACAAAAGAAAACAAGAGTGATAGTAAATAAGAAACATTTTGAAGAAATGAAATAACGTAGTTGAAATTCATTGCGAATAATTATGTGAAATGCTTCATTCTAGAGGTACTTTTATGAATTTCTCTTTCAAACTCGGAATTAAAAATTACGAAAATGACCTACACCAATCCCAATCAACTGGAAAAAGTAAAAATTAACAGAAACCCAATATCCCAAATGTGAGAAAGAACTACTTTAGAAACCTCTAGCAGTTAGGTATTCACCGATATCGTCCGCGTTGCGCTTCAACAGCTGCTCATTCAAACGAATTGATTCAATTATTTGCTGCGTGGTCCGATTAAGCGTTCGAACTTCATCTGCTCCCAGACACGAGCAAACAAAGTCCTGAATTAGAAACAGAAATCACTTACTTAACCAATTTTAAATTGCTTCAGCATAATTAAATTCAACAGAAACTGGGCGTTTAAAAAAAAGAGAATGACAGTAAGTTATACAGGTAGTTGTTGATATATCAGTCAATTTATGATAAGATTTAGGTCTGTGAAATTTGTGGAAATCAAACATAATTTTGAACAATAATGAATTAGTTACCTCAACTTCTTTTACCATTATACTAGAGCACTGACAGTCAGTACTTGTTCTAAAACAGTGCTGGAAAAGCAAACTGTTTGCTCCACCAAATTTTTGTAGTAGTAGTTTGATAGAATCCTGAAAAAAGGAACAATCATACTATCAAAAAAGTGAAAAGCAATCATTTGTTTTTTTCTAAGCCCGATAAGAAAAATGATTTTGAAATCCCTCGAATCCTGCAAGGTACAAAAAAACCTGAACTGGTTTCCAAAAATCAAAAATATTCACTTTGAAATATTTCCACACAAAATCTTGCCCGGATTTATTCACACACGCACCATAAAAGAGAAAAACGATGTCCTGCGAACGAACTTTGCCCTAAAACATTTTTTAATGAAAGTGAATTTTAAAGTAATATCTTTATAATAATGGAATATAAAACAACAAAGTTTTTACCTAGCCAAGCAAAGAGAAAAAGATGGAGAAGTCTCAGAAAATTCTTCCAAACTTCGAGGTTTTCCTCCCAACAACCAAATATAAATTCTTATTTAGATAAATTACATTTGAAATTGTTACATTTACTCTACCTGTTTCCTAATAGTCACCTCTCTAAAAGTTGTGTGATGCTGAATATATAATTTCAAAGAATACTACTGATGGCAATTATCTATAAGTTGGCATAAATAAATATTACATTTTTAATGCCATACTCGAAAACTTCCTTCAACAATTCCATATCGGATGTTTGCGGCATTGCTACAATACAATTCCGCTCTACTTCACTGAATCCTGCGGTTTCATAAATCTGCAAGACTATCATGACAAATCCGTAAGAAAAACAAGATTAATAGACAAAAATACTGTATTTTAAAACTATTTCAAAACTTAATGATATGCAGTCTAATCAGGCATTCAGCCTTCGTCGTTATAATAAAAGAATGTATTACTACAAACTGAAATGCAAGGTTCTTTTTACTAATAGTCCTTTTCGAATTTGAAAAAAAGAAAACTTTGAAAAAAAGAAGAAAAATTTTGTTTTTCCTTTTTTCTTTGAAAAACTTTGGAAAAAAAAGAAAAAGAAATAAAAGAAAAATGTTGTAATGAGAAATAAAGTATATACTTCAAGTTATCGCTTCTTATCAAACAGAAGGGCATATGGCTAACCGACTGCAAAAGTATGTGCCAAGTTAAAAATTCTGCTCAAAATAAAAATAAAATAGTCACCTCTTTCAATTCTTGAAATCCCTCTTTTCCATAATGTCTTCCCATTATTCCATATATCTGCAAAAAATTAAATATTGCATGAAAAATGCTAAGATTAAAATTTCCTTCTGAAAAATGAATGTTGACTTTACTCGATGAAAAAATCTTATTTACAATATACCATAAGACGCAAATCCGGATGAAGCTCAGTTTTATTTCTGATATGTTCTAGAAACTTCTGTCTAGCTATTTTAATAGTTTCCTCATGGTCACAACGACCCAATCGACCAAGAATTAGCGCTCGCAGTAATGCTATTTGAGAATCTGAAGAGATTTTATAAGATAAATACTCGTGAATAACTTTTAACTTTGTGCAATCTCTAAAAATCTCGCGTTTTATGAACAGCAATAAAATTTGATGCAAAAGATTTTTTCGTAAAGTTAAAATGTTTTGCTCACTTTCGAAAAATGTACAATTTTCCGAACGAACCTTCATTTGGTTTAGCTTCCCATCCAAGTCGATCTGCCACTGGGGTCAAGACTTTAATAATGAATTTATTAAATTTCGAACGCATAATGGGATCATAATGTGACAATACATTTGACAGCGCGGAAATGTCTGAAACTTTGACCTATACTTTAAAAAGAAATGAACCAAAAAGAAATAAGACAGTCTATCCTCAAAATTAATTTCTCCCTCAATGATGACACTTTAATTTCAAAAACTTCATTTCTGCGACAAAATTGTTTCATCATTTTCTAGAGGAATTTTACCTGAATCGAGAGTACTCCACACTGTGTAGTTATCTTCATTTGAAGATGACTCAAGTAGTGACAAAAACTGTTTTGCTGATTCTCGTCCAGACTTCACCTGAAATCTGTTCCCTTCGATCGATGTACTACGAATGACTTAATATTATTAAATTAAGTGAACTGAACAAAGCTTAAAAATCAGAAGAAAATAAGATTTAGCTGACGAAGGAAAAAAATACCAGTGCAAACATATCATTTGCAATGCCAAATCGGTCAAGTACGGGGATCTTTTTAGTTGAAAAATCAGACAAAAGTGCTTGTAGCATATCATGTGAATATAAAACACGATAAAAACCCGTAGTTGCGACATTTATCTGTAAAACATCTTCTTTAGTAAAATATAGAAAATGAAAAAATGCATTAAATTTATTAAACACGTATTTGTGCAATCTACCTGCCTCTATCGCTCCAATTTCGGAAAGAAATTTTATAGTGCTTGGCCGAGATTTAAAGGACAATGATGAATGAACATTTAAAATCACGATATCTCATTTAAAACGTTCCCAATCAGATAACATTAAGGCTAGAAATTTTGATGATCTTGTTTCAAGTAAATAACTAAATCAAAAATGTACCAACGTATAATCTGTCAATGCTGTTCGAAATAAAATCGTTGAAACTCTTTTAATCTAACTTCCATTTTAGCACATAGATATTACCTTAATCCAGTCTTTAGGATCTACATCGTTAATCGTAACATCTTGCTCAAATTCTTTCAGCAGAATTCTTTCTTTTATTTTTTTTGGTTCAGATGATACGGAGATCGTGATTGGAATCTGCAGATGAAGTGATTTTTACAATTTCTTAAAAATTAACTTAAAATAACCAAAAATATCAAATTACTTGTAATCATTTTCGTTGTTGTGCGGTTTCCAATATTTAGATTGACACATCTAAGCCTCAATTGGACTGATAATATCGTTTATTATTTTCATCAATTAAAAAATAATTTTGGTTAGTGGTCAAAAGTATGTAAAAATTTGAAATATCACAAAGATTGTTAGAAAATAGTCGAAACCAACCTCCCATAATGAATTCTTTTCATCATTAGTGCCATCAGCAAGAAATCGTTCTTGACTCATCTTTAGGATTCGTTTATTCCCATCAATTTTTTGACTAACAATAACAAGAGGATACCCCATCTGCTTTGTCCAAGTTGACATTAGTGTTTCAATGTCCTGAATTTTTAGGATATTAAAAATGTTGGCATAAAAATTTCATATAATCAAAATTCGTTGATCAAAATTTACAAATCCATATGTGATAAAATTCGAAAATATACCATTTTGTTTACTTTATGCTATGTTATATTCCTTTATACTCTTTGCATCAAAAAGGGAGAAATGTAAGTTAGTCGACTAGAATATTAAATGAATTTGGTTCCGAATGTCTGAAATAAAAATGAAATAAACAGGAAAAAACTCAAGGAGCTTACCTGACCAGAAGCTTCACTCAGTGCATTCCACAAATCAACAGTGACTGCATTGCTGTACTGGAATCTCTTGAGATATATCTGCAACCCTTTTTGGAATGTTTCTTCACCCAAATAATTGCATAGCATTCGGATAATCGAATTTGATTTTGCATATGTTATGCTATCATAGATTTCATCCATTTCATTAGGATTATCTATTTCAACCTGAAAAGTTAATGCATTTTTGTAAATTACCTTGGTTATTTATTCGATGAACATATTCTTTGGCAAATTTTGAGAACATATAAAAATTATTTCCTGATTCACGCATTTTTTTGGAGGAAAACAGGTGTCATGCTAGAGATTATAGGTAGTTACAGTTTGTTGGATCTTACCGGCTGTCCTAGCGCATAAAAATTTTTCGAACTTTATAACTACATCAACAATCTATGCAAATTGCTATTTACAACGATTTTTCCTTTTTTTAGAATGCAATGAATTGTCCAGAACATACCAAGACTCCCTTAATTTCTTTTAAATCTCTTGAATAGCGAAAGTCAAATGCGAAAATAATTTCTATAGTGATGCATGCTCACATAAACAAACCTCGATCGGATGAGAGCTTCGCAAAGCATCTAAATCAAAGCCTGATGCAAGTTCATCATCAAGAAAATGAAGCCATATTTTAAACTCCGGGTAATTAACACCAACGAACATGTACTCCATAAAAGAAGCAAAGCCTTCTTTTAACCACAAATCGGTCCACCATTTCTATTAAATCAACTGGAGATTAATCAAATTATCCCAACTAAATTCATATTATAATAACTTCACAAACTATGCAGAGTAATCCACTCCAACAAAATTCACTTATATCATATAAATTTAGACGTCTAATTGAGAGTTAAATAGTATTATACCAATTAATTAATTTAAAACACCAACCATTGTCACAAGATCACCAAACCAAAGATGAGCAAGCTCATGACCTACAACAAGTGCGACACGAGATTTTTGTCTTGTGGAAGATTTGGAAGGATCAACTAGCAGTGTTACTTCTCGATACATTACCAATCCCCAGTTTTCCATGGCACCTAGAAATATACTTAGAAAATTGAAGAACTTGGAAGATGTTGAAATTCAACTAACATTAAACATCACTAATACATTTTTGTTCATTTAAATAATGAATAAATTTCAACCGAATTATTCGATACGTATTTGAATAATTTATTGACAATTAATTCACTATTGTTCAATTGAAATTCAAATTAATGAAAAAGATAAGATTTTACCCATGCTGAAATCGGGAACAGCTATGAGATCACATTTGGGTAACGGATAATCGATACCAAACCAGTTACTGTACCAATCAAGCGCTTTTATTGCAACTTCCAATGAAAACTTCCCCTGATTCTTCTTACCCCCTGCGGTATTATATACCCGCACCAAGCAACCTCCATTTGTTTTACCCTGCGAAGAGAGAACATATTAATACTATATAACTATTATATTTCTAAATGAATATTAAAATAACCCTACATAAAACGTGTTCCTACCTATTTTAATTAAGATTCGTTGTCAGCAAAAACTTATCAAATAATAGGCTTCTAAAAAACTAAAAATCGAAAAAGCCATTGCAATCAGTTAGTCGAATTGTTTACTAATAACAGATTTTAGCTTTAACAATTTAAATCCAGAAAAATTATGCACATCACCCACCTCAATATATTCCAGATGACCAACAGCAAATGCAACAAGATATGTTGACATTAGCGGCGTAGTCGCAAATTTTACAATCTTTTTATCGTCTACCTTTGTTTCACTTATCACATTCTACAATTATTATAACTGTAAATTATACGAAAAAGTTGAGTTGAAATTGTTCATAAATTTGGCAGAACTTTAGAAATCAAGAGTATACTCATTCCTGAGGTCCCGAAACTACAATGTGATCTACTTTATAACGAAATACAGCTTCAATATATTCACTGTTACCAATGCTGCTGCCTTCTTTCTGTCAATCATTTCATTCCCATCATTTTAAAGCACTGAAATGAAATATGGAAAATCATGAAACTTCAATTTATGAATTTAACTATAGTACCATAATCGCCTACATCTATTAACTTGACTGCAAAATAAATAATATTTTTTTTAAAAACAACATAAAGTTTGCAAAACACATCAATAATGGAAATCATGGCACCATATTCGAAAGTGCTGTAAGCTCTTCATCCACTATAAGTGTAATGTCGAACTTTGCTTTGTAAATAGGTTCGTCCCAACAAGGAAATGCAAGCCTAGCGTATGTGCTCTGAAATTATAATTTAATTAAACTTGACAAAAAAATCCCAAAAA